TTCCAGCGCCCCGCTGAACTTTACCATGGTCAACAATGCAAATATGAAGGGATTACAACAGTGCACTGAGCAGGCACCTGCTCCATATGGCACACCTCTGTTGGAAGCACATCCCAGAGCTCAAAGGGAGACAGCAGCTTTGCAAGGAGAGCCGGGAGGTCAAAGCACTGCCTGGGATGCAGAGCACAGGGGCCGGGACCTGCTTACCTGCGATACCGTGATGCTGCATTTCTTTGCCAGCTCTTCTTTGGCTTCTTCACTGGGGTAGGGGTTACTGAGGTGGGAGTAGAAATACTCATTCAAGATTTCCGTGGCTTGTTTACTGAAGTTACGCCTTTTCCGTCTGAAACAAGAAAAGAAAACCACAGCTGTTCTTCCAGATGCAAACAGGTCTCTGGCAGGGTCGGATGGGTGGAAGCACCCCTTGTTTCTCGTGCCTGTGCTACAGCACACAGCAACACAACAGCACTGCCTCAGTACCCCCAATCCCTTTAGGTCAGCCCCGCAAGAGTCTGGATGCTGCTTGTGGTTCATTCAATCCAGCTACACGTGGGCTTCACCCCACATTTGTGTGCTGTGGCAGAAAACACGCTGAAGAAGAAGGTGAGGCAGGGTACTGAGCTGGGCCGCCTGCATGCCATGCCTCTGCACCCAAGCATGCAACCCCACCTGAACCTCCACTGTTAAGTCACTCCGTGCTGACAGCAGCCTAAGGAACCTCTTCCTGTTAGCAGCAGGTCAGCCGGGGCTTCTGGATGAGCACAGCACAAAAGGATGGGGTGGCCTCACTGCCACCGTGTCCTCACATAGCACTCGCTGAGCTAATTGGCTTCTGTGGGCAAGTGGCTTTCAGGGCTTTGTGAGGGAGACCCATCTGTGCACCCTCCTGCCGAGGGCTGAGCAGGGCCCAGGCTCTCATGCTGTGAGGACCAGGTACTGAGGGGAGCAGCACATCCCCTGGCACGCAGGCAGCCGGCCCGATGCTGCACCCTCACCAACCAGGGTACCACAGCAGCATCGGTGCAGCTGCGGTGCCTTCCCTCTGCGCTGACATCGCTGCTCTCCTTCTCCCCAGAACAGCCCCGCGAAAGCACCGGTTAAACATTTCCTTCAGAGCTCCCTTTCCCTCAGGGCTGGTTGCAATCAAACTGCCTGTGCCCGAGGCCAGCAGGCAGCCGAGCGCAATCCCCAGCGCTCTCTTCCAGCAGTATCACGATGCTGCTAACTACACTGTATCCTGGAGCAGGCAGACTCTCTCCCTAGAGCTATGTTTATCTCATTACTGTGCTTCCGCTCATTTTGCCTTATTTACCTTCCTCCTTTTTAAAGAAATCACTTTAAAATGTGCATCTGCAAGCTTTACCTTTCGCAGTTACTGGAGCTCTCCATAGACATTTCCTCCAACTGTTTGTAATTACCCTAATTTGCCACACCTGCCAGTGACCTCCTTGTTAATAAAATTATTTTGCTCTTGTTTAGCTCCTCGCAGCTTTCAGGTGTGAAGTAGGAACGAGCTGCTGAAGGGAGGCTCTGCATGGTGCCTGCTGCTCCTCCCTGCTCCGCTGGGCTCAGCGCCTGCTCTGCCAGGCTCTGCCAGATGCCAAGGAAGCCCTATGGAAGGCATGGGGCTAGGGATCCATATCCCACCTCATCAGGGCTCCTAAACCAACCTGGCTGTGCCCACAGACCCCCCCCTAATCCTCATAGCCTGCTTCCTCGCAGCCTGCTTTGGAGGCTGGTGTGCCGTGTAGCAGCATGGGGTGTCCAAGGGTGCTGCCTTCTCCCGTGTCCCAGTCAGGCAACAGCTTGTTGGGAGCTGGGCCAGCAGATCTGGCTTTCGGAAGCATCATTGTCCTTCCTACCTTGGATGCATGCAGCTGCTGACCCAGCATCAGCCACAGCCCGTGGGCACATCCCTCCCAGAGAACTTGGCTCTTCCATCACGGGGTCAGTGTTTTGCAAGGCTGGCCTTATGCTGCGAGACAGCGGTACCAGCAGCCAGTGAAAGAACTGCTGGGATGACAAAAGAGCCCTGTGCACAAATCCTATGTGACCCCCAGATGAGCAGGGCAAACAAGCATTGGGTAAACAAGCCCAGAAAGAGTCAGGTCACTCGCCTCTAACTTACCTGGCATCGAGGAACCTTGATCTTAAAATCATTACTGCTTCACAAGTACTTTGTTTGAGTTGCATCTGGATGGAGCTGAATTTTCGATGAATGATGCCCACCATCCTTTCAATCTCCTTGGGAGAAATGGGACGTGTCCGGCTCTGTTCTCTGAGAAGGTTCATCACATGTGTGGTAAATTCATTACATGCCTGCAAAGGAAGGAAAGGTTTAGAAATCGTTTTGTGCCATCCCACAAGGACACAAACTCAGGCCTGGCTGTTGAGGGGAAGGCAGTGCTGGGGAAGGGACTGGGGGACCCTCACATGGCCCTGTCCCCTCCGCACGTGCACAACCACAGGAGCAGATCACACACACCCTGTTAATGAGACCCGGGACTGTCCTGCAGCAGCCAGGAGAGCTGAGAAACCACAGCACAGCTCCTTCCACGCTTATCCCTTTCAACATCCCCACATTCCCGGCCAGACCACGGTGGAGAGGCGAGGCTGGGATCAGTGCGTGTGTAATGACTGCGGCAGGAAGAGGATGTCAGCAGGGACCAGCACGCACTCAGCAGCCAACTGAGCAAAACCTGGGAAGGGCTGTAACCCCCCGAGCCCAGGCAGGGAGCTGGCAGGGTTAACACCCCGCAGCCAGTGAGGACTTTTCCATGTGTGTCCCCTTAGAGGTGTGTTTCAGCAAAGCCGTGCCTGAGCCTGAAGGAGTCATTGAAGGAGGGAAAGCAAAAGGAAGAGCCATCAGTTATAAGTCCCAGACTACACAGGTGAATGGACATAATGATATAAACTTCTCCAGGCTGCATCATCAACAGACGCCACCTGATCCAAGCCTCCCCATGACCACATGGCTGTCACCCTGGCATCCCGGCTTCCCCAACGCAGGCTGGGAGCTGCCACCAACTCTGCTGATTTATGTCTTGCTTCTCTCTTTCAGAAACAACCCCAGGGCTGGTGTCTGCTGGGCAGAGCTGTGTGGCGGCCAAAGGGTTCATCCCTTCCTGGGGTTAGCCTGGTATTGGAACACATTTTGGGCACAAATCTACACCTGTCACAACAGAGCCCTGGGAAGAGGCGAGGGGCCTGGGTCTGCTCCCAGGACCCTCATCAGATGAAGGTGGATGTGTGCAAGGCTGGTGCCCATGGGAAGTCTGTACAAGGGCTGTGCAAGGCTCAGCCATCCTAACACACCACTGGGCTGTGGTCATGGCCAAGTAAGGCCACAAGATTTCACTCTCATGCATCTAATGTAAAGGGTGATGAGCATGATGCTCAGCAGCCAGTAAATCACACGGAGGAATTATCTCATCCAGGCCCCATATACTTTTCATAGCCACTTGACTCTAGCTCCCCTTTTCCCTCTAAAGCCAGAATGAAAAACATCTACATAATTTGTCTGACAACTCCATTTTCAGGGATTCTTCTGTGTTTCAATAGATGGTGTTAGAGTTAAAAGTGAAAAGTTTATGCATCTAAAAACTCATAATTTCCTATAACATTTGCCGAACGTCTCACAACTTATTAAGTGAAGCCATCTATGAATGCAAATGCTGATTAGCAATTTGGCAATAGCCCAACATTCGCAGAATTCACATAGCTTTTCTTTAAACCAGTAGTTCATACATGATTAATTAGAACATCTCATTTATGTAGTGTGCACTTTAGCTCATTACTCTAAGTAAAATTCGTTAAGTATTTACATTTAGATAATTAAAATCTGGGTACACCCTTAAGAAAGATGCATACACTTCAGGCAAAGTGATTTTTTTTTTCTTTACACTACTGAAAGTAAATTACAGGCTAATTTACATCCTTGCAGCACCCGTTTGGAGGCAGCGCTCTGGCGAGGCTCGGCGAGCCTTGGTGCAGGCAACCTTTGCCAGCTCACCACCGCTCCACACCAACTGCTGCTCCACGACTTCCTCAAGCCTTTCTGAGCTCCAGGTTAAGGAGTTCAACACATTTCACCCCTGCTTCCCATCTGTGTATTTGTGTATTTGCTTTCTTGCTCTATGGAGGTCTCGAGCAGCTAAGCTCCTGCCAGCATCAAGACCGCATCCTTCCTACATGTCACCTACCAAGCTGCCTGGACAACCTTAGCATGCAAAGGCTTGGGTTCAGCCATCTGACCAGCAGAAAAGCACCAGCTTTGGGTCACTGGTAAATGATGCACAGAGGTAAGGTAACGTAGGTACCAAAACACACCAACTCCCTTCTTGAGACAGGAGAGTGCCTCTGACCATCCCAAAGATACACCTGAATCCAAAGATCTCAGACACACAGCTTGCCACGTGGCACCTTATTTGAAGATCCAGGGAATTCATTTTTAAAGTGCAGTAAAAATGGCAACTGTTGTATTAAAAATATTTTCAGATACGTCTTTTCTAGGAGCAATATTTTTCCATGAATATAGCATCCAAAATTGGATGTTTCAAAGCTAAAATTAGTTTCTTGCTCTCAAGAAGCAAAAATCTTCCCCTAAATTTGCTTGAATTGCTTGGTGAGACTTCCTTTAGTTACAGCTGGAGAGCCTGGTTTTAAGGTATCTTCACCAGCACCTCCCATCTGCAGAGTCACTTCAGTGCAGCAGAAGTAAGCTCAGAAGACTCTGATGCTTTGTCTTGTTTTCTTTTGTTTATTTATAGCATCCAAGCTACTCGATCCCTTTTTCAGTTCTATTTTTCAGACCTCTGCTTGGTGCCCAAGACATTATTAATAATGTCAGGTTATAAGTGATGGCCTTGTTAACCTCCTCAGGAACCTTGTAGGAGCAGGGATGCTCCTGTTAGGCCTTAATGCTTCATCAAGACTCCTCAGACAAGCGCAAGAAAAAGAGAGGAAATAGCCCAAAACAGTCTCCGTGGGGCTGGTGGTGGCTTCCGAGCAGCCACACTTCACCCCAATTTGGGGTGAATTCAGACGACATTTGTGAACTCAAAAGAAGCAGGTTCCCAGCTGCTCCGGGAGACCTGGGACCCTTCCAGTACTTTTGCCTACAGCAAAAAATGTATTTCAGTGTAATTATAGAAGATAGCTTTCAATATGTCATCTCTATTATAGTAGCTGTAAATTATGGAAGGAGCTGCCTGTGTACGGCCATTTCTCGCGGCGCACGGCAAGGGGAGAGCTGTGTGATGGCGTGACACACTTTCCATTTCTCTTTCTCTCTCTTTTTTTTTTCTCCCTGAGTGCATTCCCCTAACTGGCAACAAATATCAGGATCAAACTCTGCCGGGAAAGCATCTCCAGGAAGCTGCTCTGGTTCCTGCTGCAGTCGGACCACAGGGGAGGTGGCAGGAGCTGCTCCAGCACAAGGCGGGTGTCCCTGTGTGGGGCTGAGCTGCAGAAGGGCACCCACCTCTCCAGAACCTGCCATCTCTGGAGGCAAAGATGCAAAGTCCTGGCTGCCTCTTGGCTGTGTTGAGACAAACCAGCAGGAGACAGTTTGCTGCCAGGCTGGGGAAATGATCATGTTTCTGTAGAGCAGATGTGGCTGGGTGTCAGGATCAACAGGGAAGTGTACATGTTTCTGATCAGCTCCACTTCTCCCTCCTTTTCCTTAGCAACAGCACTTGAGCATCCTCCAAAGTTTCCCGTGGTGTGGACGGATGGCTGTGACATTTCAACCGAAACCTTTGTAAATGGAGCTACAGGGCTAAAAATGCTCCTGCTTCCCCCACATCATTAAACTTATTAGAGGCAAAGGACACTTGCCAGGAAACAGCTGCAAGTACCGACCTGCAGTTGCTTTGGCCCCAGATCTACCTGCAGCCTGTGTCCCTGTGGCTTTATAAGACATGCTTCTGCTGGATGGTGCTTGTTAATCCAATGACCGTCCCCATCCTGGCACTATGGGCTGCACACCAGGGGTCTGCAGCACAACGAGAGTCCAAGGAGCCTTGCAGGATGTTTAGGTTCCTTGGAAGGTGTGGGAGGGGGGGTTTGTTTGAGTGAGAAAAGGGGATTTGCACAAAGACCCTGTCAGAATTTGCTCAGTTATTTGTTCACTGCTTGAACAACACAGTGAAAGAGGCAGCACAGACAAGGCAGTGCCCCTGGCACCTGAACCACACCACACCACGAGCACCTGAACCACGCCACGTCACCATCGCCTGAACCATCCCAGCCCCATGCCAGCCCTGTACCACTCGGGCCACAATCCTGCCAGCATCCACAGTAGGATGCTGTTTGGGCTGTGCCAGTAGGTGCCATCCCCCCACTCCTCCTCCACACTCACCAGTGCCCCATCCCCACTCCCCAGCATCCCATCACTTCCATCCACTGCTGATGCTCGCTGGGCACCATTCGGCTGTGTCAGCATGGCCTGTCACCCACCATGCCTTTGTTTCTGGTGGCATAAAAAACCTAAGCAAAGTAGCCAGGGACCTTTTAGAGAGTCTTCACAAGAAAAAAGGGAAACTCCAAAATAAAGGGTTATTGAGGCAGCCAGCCGCTGCTTCCCACTGGGGTTGCAGGAAGAGAAGGATGCAGAGGCAGAGACAGGGCTGGGAAGGAACCAGGCACCATGGTGCACTCCTCTCCTTGTCCTTGTGGTTTTGAGTGGTTTTATCATTGCCTCTGTCTCTCTTCTGTGGTTTTGGTCTGCACAGTCCAATGCTTTGCCGTGATGGGCTGGGGGTAAGTGCAGGACTGCCCTGGCTTAGCTCAGGAAACCACCAGCTGATGAGGTTTTCTGAGCTGATTAGGCTCAGGGTTTACAAGCTTTATTAGGACACCTCTGGGAGGGGAAAACGAAGACATCGCTCGAGGCTTGTAAGGGCCAGGGGTCTAGTGCCTTTCCTTCCTCCCCTGTCTCCTTTGATGCTGTTGTTCATTGCAAAACCAGAAAAGAGCAAAGGCAGAGCACCCTCTTCCACAGATTACAGGGAACCTGGGGCAGTGCTGCCTGTACTCCAAGGGCAGAAGCCACGCTGCATCCATCAGCACATGGCAAACATTCCCAGGACCACCAGCAAGGCAAATGTGGCAGGTCATCAGGTCCCAGCAGTGTATATACACCCACGGGTCTCTGCAGCACTCTCTTCATTCCAAAGACACCCTATTTCCTACCCATAGCAGCACCACCCTATGCCTTGGCCAGGCGCTGTGCCAGCACCTCACTGCCCGCTCCCCCGCAACATGCTCGGGAGCCTGTGGGCTGAGATCACCAGCACTGCCCTCACCCTCCTGCACTCCCCAGGTCACCAGACCCAGCCTTGCAACACTTCCATTACAGGGCACAGAAGTGGCAGCAAGTGACAGACAACTCTCCTCCTCTCTCCCTGTCTGGGCAGGCTCAAAGGGGAGAAACATGGGCTTGAGTGTTGCTTTATGTGGTTACAGACAACAGAAAACACTCAGACATGCAAGACGTGTCCTGATCCAGTGAGAGGCTCCTCGAAGCCCAACAGACTCCAAGCATGGCTCTTTACAGGGGAAAGGGAGTAGGGATGAGGTGTGGAGCTGGGCAGCGGCGGGCGCACACAAGCAGAGGTGTGGAGGAGAGCAGCGGCAGGTACGCGTACAACTGAGAGGCTGATATCTGACCTGTTCATATTTCTCCAGCTCTGTGTGATAGATTTGTCTGATCTGGGTCAATTTGGCTCTGTAATCTGAGTGTTCAATAGAGTTATCTGAAGACCCTCCAGAGGCTCTGCTGCCGCCGATCCCCCACCTTTCTCCGGACCTGAGACTCCTTCTGCCAGAAGCATATTGTCTAGTCTCATTAGCTGGGGATCGGGAGGGTCTTCCTCCTGGGCTCCTCGGATGCTCAAACCTTGGGCAGAAAAGAGAGAACAAGAGAAAACACAGTCAGTATTTCTTGCATCTGCCCGGCCGCTGCCCGCTCGCTGCACGCCTGCGAGGAGCCCTCCTGCCCCATGGGGCCACGGGGACCAGCCCTGCCATGGCCCTGCCTCCATCCCTGCGGCGTACCCAGACAGGCACCCTGCCCTCGAAAACACAGCCCAAGCAGGTGCCATGGGATGATGGCAGTGCTGTAGGACACTCAGTTCTGACACAAAGCAGGAACATCTTCCCAAGGCTTTTAGAGGACCCTGCCGAATTTTTAACCACTTCATTGTAAGTATAAAGGAGTATTCACATGAGTACAGAGACATACATCTTCTATTTGCTTTCCAGGACATAGCTACATCTACTCACATTCATTCACTCACACTCATTATCTTATAGGTTACATCAGTTTGATGCAAATGTGGTAAAAGTACGTGCATTATTTATTTGGAAGTAATCGATTTGCTTCTCATTTCCTTCCAAATGGATCTAAGCACCATGTTACTCTTATGGAGCCTTGCACCCATATCCATCCCTCCTATGAGGTCCAAGCGTTGGTTTAAAATGCTTGGAGAAAAAGGTGTCACTTGCTCCTCAACTACAGGGGACTTCAGGAAAGTGGCTCCCACTGGCACAAATCCCATGGATGCAGCCACTTCCATGCATGCCCATGGTCCCCAGCTCTACACAGGTGGGATAGACAAGAAGGAACTAAACTTCCCCTTGCCATGCAGGGATTTGGCTGCTATCGCGACACGGGGACACTGTGTGCGTGTTTAGAAGCAAGAGTAGTTTTGCATTGTATTGTTGGGAACATTTTAACTCTCATTTTTGTTTTAAATGGAGAATTTCCGAAGCAATGCCCCGTCAGCAATCTCTTCTGCATCCTATAGATCAAGGCTGACAATTTGTAAGTTTAATCAGGTCATGCAGGCACGGTGCCAAGCTGCTTCTAACAGCGCCAAAAAGAAAGTTTAAAACTAATTACAGCAGTACAAGAATCACTAGAGCCGTTGCTTCTTGATTCAACGTTCCCATTAGAAGTGTACTTCAACCATGTGCATCCCAACCCAATTAACCTCTTTAAATCTGTTCAGGAGCAGGTATTCGTGCTCTGGATAGAGTCTGCCCCATGTGTGCCCATCTCTGCTCCAAACAGGCTGCACCAGACGTGGCAGCACCATCCACAGCTGCCACACACGCAGCTGAGCACCAGCAATGCTGCTGCCAGTGCCAGTCGGGAACAGGAGCCATTCCATACAAATAGATCCCACCCTCTGTGTCCTAAACCCCACGCACAGCAGGAGGTGACCACCTGAATGGCCAACCTTCCAGAAAGCACAGCGTTAATTTGGCTCTAAAATACACGTTTTAAACCTGTCCCCTCCATTTAAAACTATAATTCCATACAATTTCATGGGAATAATAAAAACGTCTCATCAGCTCTCTAAATTATTTCTGTTGCCTGCTCAGAGGTCCACAGATGGGCACGGTCTGACAACACCGCACATGGTCCCGGCACATCCCCTGGTTGGCACACGTGTGTTGGGGACAGCCCTGGCACAGCTCCAGCCAGGGAGGGTGATGCTACACTCAGGGGTCCCCATGGCAGGAAGGGAGATGATTCCCAACCAAGGGAATCCTGCACCAACCCCAGCTGTGGCAGAGCCAGCATGGCTCCATTGGGAACAGTCCATCCCTTGGCCCTTCCTTCCCCTTGGACTCACTACAGCGCTGCTAACACAGGGATGATTTTTCTATATTGTTTTGGTGAGCAGCTCCTCCCACTTATCTTATTCCTCCTCTGCTCTGGTGTCAGTGTGTGTAACAACATTCTGGTTTTAATCCCCTCCAGCTCCCTTCCCTTCTCATGAATGAGTTCTGTTGTTTCTCCTTTTTGATTCTGGACCACTTCTCAGTCCATGTTTCCTGTGCTCTATTCCAGCTGGTTTTCCCCAGCTGCGTTTCTGAAACAAAACTCATCCACCCTCCCCATCTCACAGCATCAGTCCCACTCTGCTTCCCTGATGCTGTGAGGTGCCAGGCCAAAATCTGCAGTAGAATAATTTGGTACAGTTGCTGCGATTTCTGCACCATTTACTTCCATGAACAGGCCAAAGATTAAAGGGCTTTGTCCAAAATGACACTATCCATCCAGGCTTAAATTCATATTCAAAATCCCCAACCTTTCTTGTATAAATCTGACCAAGGACAGCAAGCGTTCCCCAAGGTTTAACTGCAAAAGCTGGTGTCTGCACCGGAGACTGAAGGAGGTGGTGAGAGGCCCTGAAGTACAAGAGGAAGAAATTCAGTGAATGAGGACAATGATGAAGCCACTAAGGCATCTCACACACAACCCCAACACGTATCTCTGGAGCTGGTGACAAAGGGGTTGGCATATTCTGTTCATCTTAATATTAAAGAACAATCCCACATCCAGAAGCTCCAGTCCAGAGCGCGTGAGCCTGCAGACAACTCACAGA